GTCGGTGAGGAGAGATATACAGGTGCCAAACAAAACACCAAGTCAGGAACTGTTACTTTGTGCATAAGAAGCCAAGTCATTAGCTCAAAATAGGCAAGATTGGCCTTTTGAAGAGGCTTGGAAACATGGGACTTGCTTCTTAACTCTCATTACATTGTTAGGGTTGCTCTCAAATGTGAAGGAGAAAAAGGCATAGGTTGGGTCCTTCGTAGTATAGTATCTCAAGTCTACAAAAAAGAGAGATGTGTGTTCAACAGCTAAGAGCCAAAAACAAAAATTGGTGAGTTCCAAGGCAATCTAAGGTTTAGGCCCCCACCCTGCAATCAAGCTACCTAATTTTAGCAGGTACTGTTGGAGGGGCTGTTTGAAAATCGGCAGTGTCATGAAAATATAGCGTAGTGGTCAAAATGTGCCTCCAGCTCTGCGTGCGATTAACAGGCAGACATCGGTCAATTCACGCATCTCAACGTAGAATGAGGGTTGTTAAGAACTTCAAACCAACAGACCCTTTTCATTCCTGTACCTCCAGTGTCCAGAACAGTGCCTGACACTTTTGAGTGTTGACTGAAGGAATCTAGGTTTGAATCTTCATTCTGTCACTTAGAAAAGGATGACCTCAGGGAACTTCCATGAGATGAAGATGGTAACTGTCTCATAGGATTGTTTTAAAAAGATGGACATGAAGCATTTAGTAAGACTAAGTTAGCTCATAATTATTATATAGTATTCCTTACATTTATTTCATTTCAGGACATTTCAGTTCTGTTGAAGACATCAAATTTTGTAGTGTTCAGTCAGCAAACGGTGGTCTCCAAGATCTAACCCCCAACCTCCAGGGGTCAGCCCCCAAGAGCCACATTTCTACCAATGGGCTGGTCCCATGGCTCTGTTTGGTTCTGTCTGCACGTGTCTGGAACAGTTAATGTGTAATGCGTGAAATTATGGGGTAGCTACAGGAAAAGAAAAAGCTGTTACAACGATGTGATGGCAAACAATGTTCTATCAGGAGTTCAAAATGGCTTTCTAGTTCCTGGATCCAATCTCATGCTGCCTTTAGGAGTCTGTGAGAACTCTCTGTATCCTTATTTTTTGCCCAAGTTAGTACTAGTATGCATATTATTTGTAAGGCTTTGTTTTCACATTTTGGATCCTCACAATATTCCTATAAAACAAATTAGCAGGACAGAATGAACACAGGAAATCAGGCATGACCCTGCCATATTTTTCCTGTAACTTTTGAGTTAATAGCCTATGAACCTGTTTTCTCATTTATAAATTAGGAGAGCAATGCCTTTGTTTTAGGGCTGCTTAGAAGATACAAATAATATAAGTAAGGCATCTAACAAAAAGTACTCGACAAAATATAGCTATTAGTTTTCCTATTTTACAAAAAGGAAAACCATGGCTGAGAAATGACATCTTTTCCAGTATACCACATAGGAATAAAAACAGGAAAGTTCACTATCTTAACATAGATCAAAAGAATGAAGTGAGAAATTTGGGACTCGTCAGTGCTCTGAACTTTTAGTAATTAAGTGGAACTGTGCATTGACCTGATGCAAATTACTTAATGACAGCTTTGCTTATAACCATTCAAGTACCTAGGCTCAGACTCTACTAAATTTCCTTTCCCAGGTAGATTTCTCTCTCTTGAGCAAATATATCGCCACTTCATGTGAACATTCTACTCTGCTTGTCAGTTTTACCGTTCTGGTTTTGTGAATTTAACTTTCTCCAAGGTGAACCAGGTACTGGGCATTTCACACTAGACCCTTAGGAGGCACCACTCCACAAACCCCACTCAGCTAGGGCCTACAGTGTGGCCTTTCCTGAGCTTGTGAATTTGTCTCTAGTCCTACTGTCCCTTATGTCCTAGAGTGCGCACCTTTAACTCTGAAACTATAGAATTGTCTAGATCAATGGCCTAAACTGTGTCTGCAGGTCTCAAACTGCATTGTACAATCATTGGGGATGCAGGTGGGCATAAGGCTTTAAAAAGTTAATGCCCAGGACACAACCCCAAAGCAATTAAGTCATAATCTCTGTGGGGTGGGAACTGGGTATTAGTTCTTTTGTTTTCTCTTGAAACCTCTCAGTGATTCCAATGTATGTCAAATGGACAGAGGCATAAAGTTGCAAGCTAAGACTGCCAACATTTTAAACTTGAAAGAATTCACAAAAAAAAGTGTTATTTCACAGGCTCCTCTCAGAACCCACTTGGCCAAGGAGAGCCTATTAAAATATTTACCTGACTCTTGCAGACATCTGAGTTTGAGACTCCTGAATTCCTGTGGTAATAAAGTTGTGCTTTTGATATTGTTATAGCTGCTACATATCACTGTGTAGTTGATTTATTTACTAATTGGCCCCTACTCTAAAAACAGCCCTAAAAATGCCTATCTATGGTTTAATCATATTCTGAAAAATGCTTTTCAAAAAAAAATTAACTTTCCCCAGCCTAAATGCTATTGACTAGAGAAAGATCAACAGTTGCCTTGAAAACTGGATTTAATTCCACAAAAAAGAAAACTCAGTTGTCTTACTGTTTACTCCTACAGTAGGCGCAATTTCATTGTTTCCAGTTGAGCACTTCCAAGTTAGCTATTTCATCTTGGGTAATTAAGTGGAAAAGCAAATTCCCTAAAATAAACCAGAAACACACCAGCTTTATCCCCAAGGAGATGTGAAGGGACCATATTTTTTCCTGTTGCTGAAGGAGCCAAGATTTCCCCAAAATGCTCACTGTTTCTGTTCTTAGAGCCCCATAGGAGAATGCTGAGAACAAATGGGTACCAGCAGTTCTAAAATAATCCTGTAACGAGTTCTAGACAACTATGCAAAATTCTTTACATTGGAAATTTGAATAACTAGATCAACAATCACAAATTCTTGGCCAATATTTATCAAATCAAATGATGTTGAACAATCTACTCTCAACTATCACATGCAATAGTTTTCTAACGAGGACTGTCCCAACTGGCAAAATGGGAAGGGCTTGTATCCATCCTGCATGCCTGGTTTCTTTTGACTAGGCAAAACAGAGCCACATCAACTGCAAACTCTGAACCAAATTAAAGATTAGAGATAGTATATAGCATTCCTCTAACATTAGCAGCAATAGGCATATGTGTATATACAGATATATAGTCTTTGATGTAGTTTAATAGTACAACACCATAGCCAAGAACCACCTTTCCTGGTACTGAATGCTAGGTCATTCTGAGACCAGATTAAGAAAATATGATACAAAGAGGTAGTACAATGTTGACTGAATCTCAGAAAGAAGAAATTGTGAAATCTTGGGCCATTTAACCTCATTGAGCCGTATTTTCTTCTTTTGTAAAAAAAACAATTCCTACCCCACTTGCTTAAACTGGTAATACAAGTTAAAGTGCTCTGAAGTTAAAAGTGATAAATGAACTCTCATAATTATAGATCCAAATAAGACCAAATTAAATTGTCCTACCATCTGGACTTGGCTAGCATATCAGTGACAAAGATCTCCAACCTGGGACCTTCTTTAAGACAATTCTCTCCATACCTTTAGGAGATACAGCTTCTAAAAGTGTGCTAAATGGAAGTAATCAGAATTTTGAGGTTGAGAATGACTCAAAACATTCTATCTTTAAAAAATTGACAAAGATCTACTAAGCATCTAATATGTATCACTGTTAAAACACAAACAGCAATTTAAATTCAATGGTCAAGTCACAGAAATTGGAAAGCTTTCAGAAAATGCTCTGAAGGCTACACTGACCAAGTTAACAATTAATTGTTGGGGATGGTCTCATTCACAGTTCCCCGCAAAGAAACTGAACCAAATCTTAACATTTTATATTAAGTAGGAACAGTGAATAAGGCACATAATACAGGTGATTGTTAGGTCACCAGTATGTTTTTTTTTTTAACTATAAAAATAAACATAAGTAACTAATGGAATAACAAAATAAAAGTTTATTTTATTAGAATTAGGAATGTTCTTTCCCTCTGGGCAACCTGAACAGTCCAGTTACAATGAAAATCTAAGAACAGTTATTTCCACAGCACAGGGTGCTCTATGCACAAAATTACAGGGTTAGGAGCATTTAATAAATTTATCGATCTGATTGTCTCACCAACCCACCCCCTCCCATCCCCCAAGTGCTCTATACCCAGGATTTGCAACTAAAAGAGTTTGTTACATCAAGTCCTTTTCTCTCTTGTACTAAATTTCAGTTCCTAATTATGGCTGAATCATATTGTACATTGCAGATTCAACCATTTCAAATCAAGTCAGTCAGTCTTGGATCTGTTATATGTGTTTATGTATACACATGTGTATTTAATGTATTTATTTAAACACACATAAAACACATACAATCTGGGTTGCAGCGAATTACACAGAATTTAGTCTGATAATATTATATGCTACTCAGTCTTACCACTGTGGTTTGTGTCCTGAGCTTTGGATCAAAATTTTACTATAAATCATTTAAAGTCCACCTACTGCTCAATTAATTGTTCAAATGAAGCATGCACTTTTCAAAAAACAATGTAACTGCCCTCAAGAAGACAGGGAGACCCTGGTGCTTACCATGAACAGAGCCCTCTTGACAGACTTAGATAAGTGATATGGGGAAGCTGTCATACGATATGGCTTGCCTATATTCCAGCTGGGGCCACTGAAGCTACTAACAATGAAAGCAATGAACTCAGGGAATACTGTCAAATATGGAGATAGTTGTTAAAAGATTGGAATTTAAAAAGGTCAGTTCACCTTGATCCATCCATACAAGTTAGGGAATGCACCCACCACTGTAATATCCTCAGATCATATGCCAAGACAAACTAGAAAGCATCTCTAAAAAGCACTGTTTGTCCATGGGTAGGGGCTGATACTATTAAGTGCACATACTGTGTTTGGATACTTGTTAAAAGGGGAGTGTGTAGTGACACTTAAACCTAGATACCGCAGTTAACTGGTTAGAATTTTTTAAAAAACACCACACATACACAAAACATTTTGATTAAGGGAGCCACATATATCTAGATAGCAACTCTGGCTGCATTTCAAAGTTACCAGGGAAAGGAACTTATTCAAGCTTTCTTTTTAAAAAAAATCCTTAGTTTGATAAATGCCTTTTAAGATTGATACAGTCATTTAAAATAAAGTGAAATGGATGTAAGGGGAGAAGAGGACACAGAAGAAGCAGACATTGAGTTCTGATCTACACCTGAGGTGGCAAGGGAGAAAGGATTAAAGGTACAGGTAAAGTTGATCCTAAAGCGACAAGAGGTTTAAGGAAGCAGCATAATATACTCAGCAAACATTCACTAATTTTTGATGGGAAAAGAACAGTTGCAAGTACATCTCATGTAACCTTTTCTAAAAGGAAAAGTGGGTTGATTCAGCAAAGCCTAACTTAGGCAAAAGGCCAGAGGAAAGTGAACCTACTTCCCAATGGAGTAATACGATGTACAATGCAAGAGCAGACGAAGCTGCCTCACAAAAGGTAAACCCTCCCTAGGCGCAAGACATTTAAAGGAAGACAAAGAGGTCCTCAACCCAAACTGGTATTTAATATTAAGACCTCTTAATCTAGTTAACAATTCACCCTGCACTCCTGTATAAAACTGACATATTTAGGGATGTTGACCTGTTGAAAAATACCACAGCCAGAATGGCCTAAACAGGTATATAATTAATAAAACCACCACCATCCTTTACTTTTAACATAGCTCTTAGTAGAAATTTCATAAAAATGGACATGACAGCTATAATGGGTTATTAATTTTCCTATCTGCTGACAATGAAAAAGAAGCAAAGTCAGTGATTTCTGTTTAAATGCACTAGATGGGAACATGTTCTAGGGATGTTTGCCTTCAAACTGAACCCACAGCAACACACACAAGCAATTTTAATATCTGCCATTTTAAATTCACAATCTGAAACTAAGTCAATGGCTATTTATTTTTATTTATATTTATATTTAAAGCAAAAACATTCTATTTGATACCCTAATGTAAAGAAAGGGTGAGAGAAGAGCCATAACCAAAATCTTAAAAGGCTCAAAGCAGCAATTAAAGGAAAAAAACTGAAATGTTTCCTCTGGATGGCTAGGAGCCTAGGAAAACCTTCACCTGTGCATAACATAGGCACATGAAGGCTTCAGTAGATGCACGAGGCCATGAAAGGGAAAGGGAGGCTGGGGACTAGGTTATTCTTGAACTGTAGCAACTAAGCTCCCTGTTGCAGTCCTTACCAGGCCATAGTGTTGTCAGGGCTTGATCTCCCTGGCCCTGATCAAGCCACTGGGTATGAGACCCATGGCCAGCAACAGACATATGAAAACCAGAAAGGGCAAGTAATCTCAGGAAAGGGAAATCAAAGAGTTCTCATGTCTTCCAGAGGTGCTAAACCAAGAGGTTTTTTTTTTTTTTTTATCCCAACCTTCAACTGTGGAAAGTTCAAGAAAATTGAAAGAAAATGCACAGCAAATAGACATAATGTTGAAGATTTTTAAAGAATAAATATTTTTTGTAATTAAACATTATGCAAACACGTGCCACGCTTGCTTTGTCCATGCATATGTGCTATATACAATTTTGAAAAATACTGTGTTGTCCTCTTGTTTTAAAAGTCATATACAAAGTTTTTTTTTTTTTTTTGTCGTTTTTTAATTCTTTTTGCTGCCTACCCACTTCCCGCCCCAAGAATTTTCTTTACAAGGAACTAAACATCATTCACTCATTACCTTGGGGTATGAGAGAAAGAGAGTCAGTCTCTGTGTGTGGGTGCATTTGTATGTGTAGGGGAGGAAGAGGTCCTTTACCAAAGTACAACAAAATGACTGGTTTGGGCATGAAAAGCAGTGTCAAGGACCTGTTTCAAATTTTAACTGTACTACACTCAGGAAAAAGAAAAAAAAAAAAAAAGAAGTCAGCTTTGAGAATGAAGCTACGTTACAAGTTAAAGTTGGAGGGCTTTTAGTGTGTCTGTCACACTTTGGCGGCCTAGAATACTGTTGTACAATGGTTTATCTACCTTTTTTTTATTACAATATAATTTACTTAAACTTTCTGTTAACAAAACAGAATTCTGGTACTACAGACCAGCAGTATCAGAATGGGCTTAGTGCCTCCTTGTTTGTGTTTGTTTTCATTGCATGAGCACTCTAGATGGTGAAGTTTTCGGAGTTCATTTTATGCAGGGTCATTCTCAGTCCTCAATGTACTCCCACAGATCTTTTTCATAGCCTTCATGAACATGCTGTAACAAAACCCTTCGTCGACTCTCACAGTATCTGTAATCAAAGAGAAAAAGAAAATGTTAGCCTCCAGTTAAAAAAAAGAAAAAAGCATTTACTTATTTTTAGGGCCCCCCTACATTTTATCAAGACTTGGAACTAAGCACCTGTTTTTAATAACACATTTGCATGTCTACTGTTTCTAATTTTAAAAAGGTGTTTTTTAAAAGCCATGATTCCCAGTTTTGGCAATTTTAAAGCAATAAAATGTTAGAAATTCCTAAAGGCCTTAGAAATTACCTGATTCAAGCCTGTCATTATTCTATCATAAGTAAACAGTTTCAGGAAAAAGTAACTTCAGGGGTTACATATTCACATTCATAAAATCTTTATTAACTGTAAAAGTATCATAAACACAATGTACTTGTTAAGGGATGTAAAACTACTACTTAGGAATAAATCTTCAATTCTTCCAAATTCCCAACGGTTTCTACCACTATTAAAAAGGTATTAGTATTTGCTGGGAAACAACTTTGCTTTCTGAACATGGAAGTCTTTCCGCCAAAGTTCCCCCAAACATTTTGCATTCTTAGCTTAAGAAGTAGCATATGCTGCTTGTGTATCTCTCAAAATAATGCCCCTTTCCTTTCTTGGAGGGTGAGTAAAAATATTATTCTTTATACTTTCTTCTCTTTGTGAATTCTTTCACAGTTCACCTCAGTGACCACCCTAACATTCTGGTGTCCCGTATGGGGACATTCTCTATTTCTCCCTCTCCTCCAGCCTCCTGAGACTTGCAACTCTGGGAGCAGTGGCAGTGGAAGATTGACCCGGGCTAACCCCCTAACCCTGTCTCTGCGAGGTTCAGAGAGAGAGGATTCTAATCCTTCTCCATCTCTCTGGACTCTGCAGACAGCCTCCTCCTCCCTCATCCATATTCACAGACGGTGATCGATGTAAGAAAAATTTGTTTTTTCCCTAGAACAATTTGTAAATTATACCCTCATAAGCAATACTGAAACATTTATATTTTTCTCTCTACCTCATCACTCCAGAATTCGGCAACTCTTACTAAAAGACCGGAAATTACTGGAAAGCAACAACAGAACGAACCACTCCCTATAGCTACAAGCAGAAGAGAACATTGGAACAAACTACAGCCTCCCAATAGCCCAGGGGCCTTACAACAACCCCTCCACCATTTTTTTTAATCCAATTATAATCCCATAAAAGCTCAAAGCCCCTACCCGTACATGCTGGTGCATCTCCCCACATCATGCCCCTCACCTTTCTTGGAATAACTTTATTTTCTACCAAAAAACCCCCAGAAAACAAAAAACATAGTAGTAGTAGTAGTAGTAGAGAATCTTGAAGTACCATCTACCTCTAGAGTAAGGTAAATATCTCCTTGCCGGGGGGGGGGGGGGGGGGGGGGATCTAATAAAAACTCTAAAATAAGTAGTTCACTTGTCAACAGCCACGATTGCAGGATCCCCAAGCTGTGTCCAGCATCCTAATCTCACTCCTCATCCTAATGGTCACTTGACCCTTTTAGGCTCTTACTTGCAGAGCAGCAAGTAACTAGATAAAGTTGAAAGGGAGAAACAATCAGCTGGTGGGATACATGGCTGATTTCCTCCACTATGTTTAAATAGCATTACTATGCAAACTGTGGCCCAAAGGACAGAAGTCATGTATGAAAAACATGGCAGCAGCTCAGCTACTGGATATGCTAAACCCAAGTTTCACTATTACCTGACTTCACCACTAAGGCATACCGGACTACAATGGCAGAATCTTTTGCTCAGAAACTATTTTTTAAAATCTCACCTGTACTTATCTTGTACTTTCTGCTTTATATCCTGTAGAGAATCTTGGGAAATATCTCGTTCAAGGTAGCCCGAAAGCACCTCTGTGGCATTCTCTAGATCTGCTTGGTTATTCTGCAACAGGAGGAAGATATATAGTAAATTTTGGCTTCAAAAGAAAGCTGAAAGATAAACCATCGTAGCTGCTTCCTTACCTAGACTGCTTTCAACACAGATTCCATAATTTTCACAGGTGGTTTTAACTGTATCTGTAAAGCTCTTTATTGCTTTCTCCTCTAACCACTTGTTCTCTCTTTTCAAGGACAATTCATTAAATGTTAAAAGAACTAAAGGTTCATCCGTTACTTCTGAAAGAATATGAAGGACAACTTGAAAGGACTTAAAAAAGTCTTTAGGAATCTTTTAGTTCTGAGAACTGCTATTTGCTAAAACTAAAAGGGACACTTGAGAAATAAATAGAAACCCGTTTTTGCTTACATCTGGTTTGTACCCACTTCAACACTGTGTGGAAGATTAAAATTTTATCATCATTCATTGCTATGGCTAGTTCTGTACATTTATCCATCTAAATTCCCATCTGCTGATCAATGTTACCGTCTATTCATTTATTGACGCCAATGTTTCATGCATCAATTTTAAATGGACATACCTACCTGAAAAACTTTTACTGCTTAATGCCTATTTTAGTCATTATATAACCACATATTAACTTCTAACACCATATAGTAGCTTTGCCTGAAAAAGGCTTTTATTAAAAACTATGTTGTGCCAGGTTCTATGTGTATAGGCAAAGTACATGGGCTGTCTCACTTAAACCTCATAACATCCTAGAAAAGTATTATTGCCATTTTAAAACAGATATAGAAGAAGTTAAGTAATTTGCTCTCAGTCAACAGAGCTAACAACAAGTGATGAAGTCAGGATTTCAATCCAGGGCTGCCTCCAGAGCCTGCACACTTAATCGCTAGCTGGTTAACTCACATCAATTTGAATGTAGCTTAGGACAAGAAATCTAAACTTATTTTCCCAATAAATACATTTCTGATCCACATTTTCTGAGCAAATAGGAATGTTTAAACCTATATATCTTCTCTATGAAAGACCAAGTAGTCCTATGACACAAGGTGGGCCTTTTTCCCACTCAGTAACTATTCCTACCTCAAAGATAATGGACTGGTTATTCTTTTTGAGGTAGAAAGCGAAGACATAAGTGTACATGAGTGTGGCACGACACTGGCAGAGGACATCAACTGCTTTCTTCAGGAATTGCACCTCAATCCAGGACATGTTGTGCTGTTGCATCTCCTCCATTTTCTGCTTCACCTGAGCATACAGTTTGTGCTCAAAGCGTAGACTTTGCATGTGGTTCATATAGCGATTACAGTAGAACAGGTACCTCTGCAGGGCTGCCCTAGATCGCTGTTCCATTAAGAAAAATTAAGGTTACATAATTATGACAAATGTAATATATAAACAAAACTGATATCATATTTACTGATGAAACAGTATAAGAATTTGGCTAAAATCATGAACAAACAGACATCTACTTGCTAGCTTTATCATTTAACACTGCTTTGAATGTCCTATAGCTGTACTTTCCAAAATAACTAAAGAGCCACTAAAATCATGTAGCTATTTAAAATTAAAAATTCAGTTCCTCAGTATTCAATATGTGGTCAACAGCTACCAAGTTGGACAGCTGAAATAAAGCACATTTTCATCATTACAGAAAGTTCAATCGGATATCACTGTTCTACAGTATGCAATAAAGTGTAAAACTAGCAAGAAGCATCAATATTTTGAAGCAGAAAATAGAGCAGCAACCAGACATCATATAACTCCTAATATACTGCAGTACCATTTCACAAGCTAAGAGTTTTGTGCCCTTTTCATATCCCGCCCACCCCTCATCTCCCACCAACTGAGTCTCAATTTAGGTATCTAAATTAACCATTAAGTTTCAGGAAATACTGGGATAGAAGAACCATTAAATGACACCAGAAGTTGCAATCAGCAAAATGTAGAATATGGAAGATTCTGTATGGCAAAATAATTTAGTTTCCTCAACAAACAAATGGCAAGGAAAAAAAAAGGAAAGGAAGGACTTAAAAGATTAGAGGAGACTCAAGAGACATCAATCAAACCCATTTTGTAGACCTGTATGAATCCTGATTAAAAGCAATGATTAAAGAAAACTTGAGGTAAGTGGGAACATTTGAACCCTGGAGAGTTGATGATATTAACAAAGTACTGATGTCAAAAAAAGTATACAGTATACTTATAAAATAATATTATATTATATAATAAATATATACACAAACATAATGTTGGTATTGTAGTTATAATAGAAAAAATTTAAAGATATATGAGGTATTACCAAAGAAGTATTATAGTATCTAGTCTAGAATTGTTTTATATTATTTATCACACTGCAAAAGTAATTTATATAGGTCTTTCCCATTACACTGTAAATCTCCAGAGGAGACAAGACTTTTTAAAAGCAACCTTATTATGTTTACTTAATATGTAGAAAATGACTAATAAATGCTGTTAAATGCAACCGCTATGAAAGGATTTCTTATCACATACATATTTTTCTTTCACTATCATCTTCTCTTTCTCATGTCTTAAAGCCAACAAACAGCTCAGTTACTACTAGGCCCTATGGTTGGTCTCTTGGTTAGAAATACTCTGAACCACAGAATTAGCCAATTACATGATCCAGTATCATACAACATTGAAACATTTTAAAAAACCTATACAAGCCATGATGCTTCAAGAGTCAGGTAGATATCAAACCAATGCTCCTACACTGGAAAACTATGCCAGTTATATACATGTGGAAAATAATCTGCTTGGAATTTTATTCTCCCCAAAAAGCACTAGTATTTTTAAGCCCATTGTATTCCCAAAACGAAACAGATAATATAAATCACCATATTAAAATGTATATTAGGGGACTTAATTTAATATGACCAACAATTCGAAAAAGCTTCTTATTAAAAAAGCTCTAAAAGTCAATATGAAAGAAAACCCTGGTGGGAAAATGGAGACAAGTGTACTTGAATAACAATTTAAAAAAATAAATAAATAAAAATAAAAAACCCATACCATCACGGCAAGTAAGACCAACTTTTATATCAAACACCAGACTCTGGGTTAAGAAATGCAATCAGTGACAAACAAACAAACAAACAAACAAAAAAACAACAACAATTTGGAAAACAAACACTTGTCTGCTTAGAACAGGGGTAGGCAAACTCTAGCCTGCATCGTAAATCTAGCTGCTGCCTGTTTTTGTAAAGTCAAGTCTGTGTTCCTAAGACAATTTAAGTTTTTTCCACAAAAAATCCTGTTTTCTCTATCTTCTTCCTGTACTATTTTATTTTGGAACCTGAGAATAATAATCAGCTTAAGTAATGAGCTCTGTTCATTAACTTTTGCTTTACTGAGTCATAATACACTTACTGAAATGCAATAAACTATTCATAACCTTGAAAAAAACAAAAGCCCAGCCACACATAGCAGTCTACCAACAACAATTTTATTTTAGGAAACAACATCTGTCAAATTAATTTGAACTTGAGTTTCACAGGTTTTGTAGTTCTCTAAGTTTGGCTCTATAGTTGTATAAAAGCACAGGGGTTTATAGCTGGTTTTATGTTTAAACATATTTAAGTAAATTATAATGAATATAATCTAAATATTGGAATTTGTGGGGCTTCCTTCTTTTTAAAAGGACCACAAATATTGTGAAGTCTTGAAATGCCATGCATCATTTATAAATACAAAATATAATTTCCCAGTCTTTAAAAAGCAGACACAGAACTTTCACTTCTAACAATATGACATTCTAGGTTAAGTATATTCTTCTGTATTTATGGTATTTTTAATAAAAAAATAAATTTCAAGGGGATGTTTAAAAAGTGAAACAAGATGAAACAGATCATGTTTTAGATTATATCAGGCAAGGAAAACCACTTGGAAATATTTTTGGGATGACTGGGGAATTTCAATATAGGATAGATGGTATGTAAGGAATTCCAAGAGTCTACAATTATGATAGAATCACTGGCTGAAAGGAACTTAAAGTGCTGTTGAATCTCAATATACACCTAGTGTCTGAATCCCTTCTACAACAGTGGTTGTGTTCCCCATCGGGTGAAAGGAAATTTCCCACCGCCTGAAGCAGCTTACAATCAAGCATAAGAGCTTCTTGATGAACAATGAGGTTTAAAAAAATAATACAGAATTAAAAATAAGTGAGACTGAACACAAACAGCAACAGTGTTGTTTAACAGTTACTGTTCTCTAGTCTCCTTGCTGGAAAGGGAAAATCTTGACACAACTTCTGAAACCTGGAATTGTACTACATGTCTAGATTAATTAAAAGAAAACAAACCAACCTATAAATAGGAATGCTCCTGATACATATTTTGGATGAGATTCTCTCTTTAAATTTACAGATACCCAGTATTACTGGAGTATATTTCCACAAATCTTTCAAAATTGAAAACTCCTGCTAGTTTATTCCCTAATAAACACACAATGCCACATCCTGTTCAGCTGTTACCGCTAAATAAAAGCACTCACCTCCTGTGCGTCTCTTGCTGCCTTTGCATCATCCTCATTATAGCGGTTACAGTTGTACCTTAAAGTAAAGAGGATTCCATAAAGCCATAAATCAATGAAAAAGAGAACCAATCACAGAATTTGAGCCTGGATTTAGATATTATCTAGAACCAATATTCTGCTTTATACACATAAAATGAGGTTAAAATAAGCAGGATTCTATCATTATAACGATAGTTACCATACTGAAAGGCACTCAAGTGTTCTACCTAATCCACACCTAGTGCTTGAGTCCTCTCTGTAACAGTGTCAGTCCTCTATCTAGTAACAGGGAATTTCCCACTTCCTGAGGTAGTCCACTGATGTTTTCCTAAGTTTACTGTTGTCCTAGCTTGACTGTTACTTAGGCCAAATATTCCCAATAATTTCCAGAGTTACTCACCTTCTTTTCTTTTATAAACCCAACAACTGATGAACTACACTATAATATTGGGTTGACCAAAAAGTCTATTTAGGTTTTCTTGTAAAATAAAAGACATATTTTTCACTTTCAGAAATAACTATATTGATTTGGATATTTTGAGGCTGTGGTATAACATTGATTGTCCTCAATTAATGTCTCAATTTGATCACTATCAATTTCAACAGGTCTACCCGACCACGGAGCATTGTCCAGCAAGAAATCTCCAGCATGAAACTTTTTCACACGTTTGGTCAGTCACAGCACCTTCTCTATACACTGCACAAATATTTCTTTTTTGCGTTTTAGTTGTGTTTTCACCTTTTTTGAAATAATAAAGCATAATATGCCAAAAATGTTTATTTTCTTTCATCTTCAGTATTAAAATGGCTACACAAAAATCCACCAATTTTGGTTAAGTTTTTTTTAAATGCACACTGATTGTGACAGCTGTCACAATACAATCTAACAAAACTGTTTCAAATGAAGTTAAAGACTAAAACTAAGTGCTGTTAGAGACATCTTATAAAAACCAAACAACCTTTTTGGCCAACCCAATAGATGCTATGCTACATCCTCAACATGCTATTACAGTTTACAAGAGTCACTCAAAATTGAATGACATACTAACTGAGGAGCTGGGAGAAAAATCTGCCCGAAGAAGTCAGCTCAGAGCAGACATGAATGAGACTGGCACGTCCCTTGTCCTGCTTATTTTCTACTTCTTTTGTGGGAGCCTAATTATGGAAGTGGCTGATATTTATTGAGTACTTACTATATACTCACTTACTGAGTACTTTAAATGTATTATCATATTTAATCCCCTCTATCATCTTATGAAATGTGTATTATTATTATCCTCATTGAGCAGATGAAGAACTAGGTTTCAAAATTAAAAACTAGGGTTTCAGAGCTGGGGATTAAACTCATGCATATCTGACAAATGAGGTCCGTACTCTTAACCAGTGAATATATTGTTCACAAGCTGCTGTCTCCAGAATCTCTTAATAGCGATCTCTGTAAAACTAAAGAAAGAATTTTCAATTTAAATCTTGTTAAACTGGACCCATTGTTTTAGCTTCTCAAGTTCTTTAGGATTTTAATGATCTACATATTCAGTATTTCTCTTTGATGTTACCCCCAAATGCATGTCAGATTCTCCTATCAGTTTGAGAACATCGTCAATAAAACTGACCAGAAAAGCAGTCAGTATACACTGTGTGGCAGGAGGGGAGGCTGGGGCAGAGGATGAGGACAAAACCTTTCAGCAAACCAATAAAGCATTCCATTAGTGTTAGACACAAACCCATTATCTGTACTCCAACAAATCATTCAATTAATCGCAAATATCCCTCCCTCTCTGTAGTCACAGCCTAGGCCACAAACTTCTCAGTCCACATTGAAGTATTTTGCTGAGATCTATAAAACATTCCCTAATCCATCTTCCTAACAATACCATTGGATTGTGGGGTTTCACATAAGAGAAATAAGTTATGTGGATCATATACAGTTTGTGGAATTATAAAATTTGGAAATATATTTTGTCTGTTTCCAGGCACTGGTACCTCTCTACTTTCCAACATTACTCAGAAATAACCAACAATGACTCACTGATCTCATCTTCAAGTTTTTAAAAATAACCCAGACTATAATTTATCCAGGTCAGGAGATTAATTGATTTTCCCCCAGTTTAGGTTACAATCCTCTCTTCCCAATAGTTACACTACTCAATTTAACCCAAATATGACCCCTCCTTGCCTTCTACTGATCAAATATTAACACCTCTTCCTATTTGATTTTTTTAAACATATTTATAAGCCTCGATTCATTCTATGCTTTATTCTAGTATTATTAAGAATTTTAAAGCAGGAAGGCAACCAGGATTCATCTATACTTCTAACTCAGGTAACTGACAGTGCTACTTGGAATACTATTTTGAAGATGCTGAGGCATTTTCAGGTTTAAACAAGAAAGCGGAGCATGATTCAACGTTTCTGGCATCCCTGAACCAGGCCATTCTTTATTCTTTTGTATCCACTATTTGTTTTGTAACCTTTTCAGTTTTCAATACAGCTCCTTTAAAATTTAAGTTGTGATCAGAGATTACTTTACACATAAATATCTAACTCTTCTTCTACATTCCCCATCCCCTTCACTAGGCTTGTTTAAATATATTAGAGTGAATTCAGTTTCTGGGAACATTCTGATCATCCAGTTTGCCTTCATAAAATCCAGAGGACCTGTCCAGCTAAAACCCAAAACACCCCTTCTTGGCTCTGACTGTGGCAAAATAATTTTCTTTACTTCCATCTAGTTTTTACCTATCTCAAAATTAATTTCAGACAGGCAATCCCTCATACTATTCCTCTAACTAATGAAACTAATAAAAGTTCCAACAAAACTAAAAAGGAAGACTTGCCACTTTTTAAGTTCGCATCTTCCTTATCTTGTCCTAAAACCTGGAATTTATTCCCCCCCCCTTCCCAGTCTCTACAAAGCAGCCACAATTATGAGACAATGTATATAAAGAGCAAATCAGACAGCCTTCTTCTCATCTAAGTAACAGATCTGATCATGTCACTCCTTTAAAATTCTTCTGATAATGTCCAAACTACTTAAGGTCTCCATCTATGTTCTCTTTTTCTATTATCCACAACTTACAAGGTGCCACAAACTCAAAGGCCAATAGGGCACAGGCAAGGAACTCATGTCAGTGAAACAGGCCATTTGCAAATAACAGCAGTCAGAAAAATTTTTACTTTTACTAAGAGATATGCTAGCTCCCATTTTTCTCAATATTCAAGGTATCCTCAGTCTAACTTGCATTTTCCCAAATAGATAAGACATATGCATTGAGCAAAGGTATATATTTCTATTAAATGGGATTAGTGCCATCATGATACATGCAAATACCATTAAGCTTCAGTCTTTGGAGAAACATAACAAACTGGAAAGAAAGAGTTAGTAATCAGTTCCAGGTGACTGCTACCAAGCAGAAATACAGGCCCGTTCCTATGACTCAAAGAGAAACTAAAAATCTGGACTGCTTTGGGCAATTTTCCAGTTTTTAAAGTTTGGGACAAATTTTTTTTTTTGGTCAAATGATGGGCAGGGTAAATAAAACACAACTTCATTCTGGGTTTTATCAGTAGTCTCTTATTTTTCAACTACTGCCTAGAGACATATTAGACAATGCAACTCTTCTCTGAGTAAGTCATGTACATTCACATCATTCTACCTTGGTTCATGCTGCTCCTTTTGCCCTGTATATTTTTCCTAACACTTCTTCAATCAATGAATTCCTAGCCCTCCTCTGTGAAATACGCCTAATTAATCCCTCTTTCTGGATATCCTGCATATACCTCTAACACTAATCACACACACTTATTTAGCAAGCTCCCAAGTTAGAGGGTGATTTCCATGAGGCAGAAACCTTATTCAAAATATGTGGCATATATCACATACTTTTGTGAACATACTCTACCCTTCATTTCCATTTCCCCAACCTACCAGGCAGATCCATGTGGTTCCCAAGGGCCAAGACACACCCAGCAAAACTCTGCTTTACAGTTCTGGTTACGACAGACCATGTGATTACAACCGCCATCCTTCTCAATTGTAACATGGCATTTGGGACATTCCTATGAAGAGAAACTATAAAGTTGGTGTCAATGCTACACTGGGTTGTATTACTACCACTGAGGAGGAGCCAATTCTAAATTTGGTTTATTTTTAAATACCACATTCACTATGATTAACACATGTAAAGCACTTAGAACAGCGTCAAACTCTTAATAAGTACTACTGAAAATGAGCTGTTGTGATTACTAATTGGCTTTTGAAAAGTATGACAATTTAAGAATTTGTTTTAGTGGAGTTGGGGGACAAAAATATTTTAAGTATTTTAGCCATACATGTAGTAGTAATAGTTTTATGGAAGGTAAAATATTTTGTTTATTTAAATATAATAATCTAAGTCATTGAAAAATAATTGAGTACTTCCTGTATCTCACACTTTTCTCAGTATTTTATATGCATTATTTATAATCTTTATAGTACAGCTATTCTTATTTCCATTTTTCAGATGAATAAACTAAAGGAGAGAAAATTAAAAAAAAAACCCAACACCACACTAGTCCATGGTCACAAAGGTAGTAAAGGGCAGAGTCAGGATTCAAACACAAGCAATTTGGCCTAAAAATTCAGGAAAGTGAGATCGGTAAAATCTTTTTGTGGATTCTGAGTTTCCCAACTTACTTCTGCCAAATATCCTTGTTTTTATTTTTATTTTTTTACTTATTGAATTTAGAGGGAGAGAAAAACAGAGATGGGGTAGGGGTGGGAGCAAGAGAAACATCAATCTGTTGTTCCACTTATTTATGCATTCGTTGGTTGATTCTTGTATGCACCCTGACTGGGGATTATACAAGGGATGCAGCTTTGGTGTATCCGGGATGATGCTCTAACCAACTAAGTCACCTGGCCAGGGCCAAATGCCCTTGTTTTAAATTCTTCTTGTTATGGTTCATTTCTGTCTGTGCTACAGAGATCATGATTCCCATCTCCCCCGTCTGCATCATTTTCTTGGTTGCTAGTGAGCCAAAGTTACTACCCTGCAGGTCTATTGTTTTTCTCTTTTGAAAAACCTTGAAAACGCAAACTTATTCATTATTTTTAATATAATAAATAAGATAGAAAGCTTGTATTTTTGCTGTATTTGTGTTTGATGTCTGTAACTACCACAAGGGAGAAGTAGTACCATTATTATTTGCACAATTAAGCCTCTACTACAATGCCCATAAACCACAGTAATTTTAAATAGGTCAATATGATAATTTTTAATTATACATTTTAAGTCAAATTTGTGAAATGACATGCATAAGAAATTTTGCATTTTCTCAAAGAAGCAAGTTCCAGGCCTAAAATATCTGCTTTACTCTACATTTCTTGATAATTAACCGAACAGTATTAGGCTCTCAAAATGTTAAGATACCATCAACGATCTGCAAATCTGCTTAAGGAGCTGATAACAATAATAAAGTTTCTGAAACCTCTCAAGAGAAAAACTCTTCAGTCTCACCTCACAACTACCAAGTACATAACTTTGTTATTACAAATTGCCATTTTTCCTCAATAATCTACTTTCTAAACAAAGTCAAAGATATTCAAGATTGTATTCCCTATTTTAAACAACTTGGAGGTTTAGAATATTTGTGATTTCTCTAGATGAAGAAAGAGGATGAAAGTTTACTCAAACTACCTAGTGAAAATACAGCTGCACTATTTTAAATGCTTAGTTTATAGAGCATATTTAAGGATTCTGGTGGAGAAGTCAATTTTCAAAATAGGCTAGGCTAGGAAATTATTTTTTTAACAAAAATAAACATAAGTTTTTATTAGTGACATGCCTTATGTATATTATGATGGTTTTAGAGAGCACAAAAATATTTCAACCATACGTTTCTTAAAGATGTGGGCATCATACAATGTGACAAGACTTGCTGTTTCCCTGATAATGATTTCTGAGAAACAGAAATAAATATGTATTTTTTAATCATTTTGGGTAGAACAGGGCACTAACAGTACAAAACTATGTGTTAGCCTTTATCATTTAGGAATTCCATATTCTTACTGTCTTGTGATTGAGTGACGACAGCACACAAAGCTACAACACTAGTCAAATAACTCTATTATTTAAAGCATGATCTTCATATGTGAAATACTGAAAATGAATGGCCCATTAATAACCCTATCATCCATCACCCAAGTCATGTCTTATTTGGATGGGATATAAGATTAAATTGAATAAAAACTGGATATTTATACAATTTTCAATTAAGAGATTGGGTGGTACATAGTTGGGATTCAAAAGCTTCCTTATTAGTGAAAGACCACAAGGGTGTTCAAGATTACTTTCATCGGTAAAATTTTGTCTAGCGTTAAAGAAGTGGTTCAAGACTGTAAAGAGACTGAATTTTGGAAATAGTATTCTGAGCAATGCACTTCAAAAACAACAACAACAACAAAAACCCCACAGGATACCCATATTACCCCCAAACTTCTATTTCTCAAGAGTCAAGTCTTTTAATAAATCATATTATAGAAGTTTGACATGTTAAAGACATTACATAATAAAAAGTTACTCATTTACTCTGACTGAATGCTACTCTAAAACCCCTTGGAAGTTAGAAGCAGAAATGCCAATTGGCCTAATAAAAAAAAGAGAGGTGGAATAAACTCTATATTTGTATACTAAAAGGCAGCCAAGGACAATACAAGCATTATAGCAAACATCAAAGTAGAAAAATTATCAGCTTTGTTTTCTATAGAAAAGTAATGCTTTCCAATAAAAGAAAATTTCTAAAATAGAGCACTGTGCCTATTACAGTATAGTCCTCAGTAAAACAAACTCAAACACTAAAATAAAGAAGAATTAATAGGCAATCATTCTGGATAAAACAAAAACAAACCTTAAAATTGAGTAAAAGGTAAAACAAGGCCTTAACCAAGGTAAACTTACTGCTTTTGCTAATGATGATGTGTGCCTGTCCTTATCAGTTCATTACCACAGTTTATTGAAGAAAAATACCAACCTTTGTGTTGGCTGCAATCCAATTAGAGGTTTCACTGTCATCATCACACTTTTTAATCCATTTCTTCAACCACTGTTTGGGGAAAAAGAAAAACCACACAACCGTTAAGGTACAACGAAAGACTTAAGAATAAGAATAGCAAAAATTACTTCAATACTTAAATTCAGTCAAGCTTAAATATAAAAGCCAGAGACAAGATTATCATTAGATATACTTCCTTTTAAATCAAGGAAATCCTGTAATTCTTATATCTAGTAAATACAAAAATCAACCAAAGGAGAACTTTCTCTGGCTCACAGTGGGAAATCTACTGCCTGACTGAATAACAACTCCAAGGCGTGCCATTCTAGGGTGCCTTAACCAAAATTATCCTGATAGTATCAGGAGCTGACTTATTCCTAAGGAATGCTCTCTAAATAATGGCAATGATCATCTGAAATAAAGGCAAAATAAGATCTTTTATCTACTAAAAGATAAATAACAAAATTGTGGGCTGTAATTTTCAGTTACCAAGTCTTAGAAGTGCTCTACATTATTTAAAAATAAAAAACAAGACCAACTTACCTTACATTTAACTGGATCATGCCAATTTTCTCCACAGTTAAAGCTGTTAGGTGAAACAAGAGTTAAAAGAATTAAGTCCCATCTACTATTAAGTATGCAAACATTTGTAGTTCCTCAGTATTATCATCAGTTTCTAGAGACTGGCAAATATAAAGATAGGAACCATGTCTATTTTATTCTTCAGTGAATTGTTTAGAATTTAGTATTATGATCAGCATGTAATGGGTGTGTATGTATGAATGAATAATGACTATTAGCATGAAAACATGCTTAGATGACAATTTCATAATAAATGGCTATCTAAACAGTTATTAAACTCTTAAAATAAAAAATCAGTTTAGTTAGATCTGTATTTTTCTGATAGTTTTAAGACGGTTCCTTGTTACAACCACTCTCTAATTGAAGCCAAATTGAAATCATTTTCATTAATTTCAACTTAAATTTCAATCATGATTCATTAGGATATATTAAATCTTTTACTTGACACCCCAAATAAAGAATAAAAGTGTAGCTTTGTAGGGTACTATATAATTTAGTACTAATGTGCAGTAAGCAATGCACAGAAAGCAAACAGGCCACAAATGAACCTCAGTCCAGCAGAGATAAACTATACCAAACAAGGTGTAAAATCAAAGTGTGACTAAATATTCTCTAAGAATATAGTAACTAATGTCTTTTCTGTTTTCTAGGCAAATGGTACATACTTTTGTGGAAAAAAAGTATAAATTAAGGACAAACACAAATTTCATGAACAGGTAACCATGGAATGGCTAATCAATTAACTAATAATGTAATCTAGGAATGCAAAAAATCCTTTACAAATGGGAGGAACAAAGTGCTATTAATTTAAATTAAGTCAGGATAACAGTTACTTCTGAAAAAGATGATAAGGAATGGGATGGAGAAGAAAACCAAGGGGTTTCAAATGTGTCTGTCATGTTTTATTTCTTAATAAGAACAAACAAAATACTGATTTTGATTTAGCTGGGTTGCAGCTTGTTAAGTATTCATTGATGTTATTCCCTATAGTTTGTATTCAAAATATTTCATACTAAAAATATATTTGAAAGTAGGTATGCAATGAGAATCCACTCTCTGTCTACCTGGTAAACTGAAACAGTAACATATTTACTAATTACCAAAATAGCATGCTTTTTACACATAACTTAATGTCTGCAAGTTTACCTGCTCTTTTTGAAATATCTAATATTAATGATGTTTAAGGCTAATTTATGTAACTCTAATACTAATGATGTGTAAGGCTTGACTGGTTTCTTGTTCCTAACAAATCCACAAAGGAATGGAAGATCATTTCCACTCCCTAATATGTGGTATTACTGGAAATTCCCTGGTACGTTGAATCTAGAATACAAAGGCTGAAGAGAATGCAATAGAACTCCAAGAACCCACATTACCAGGAAAACTGGAGCCAGCAGAGCCAAATATAAATCAACCATATTTTGCCTTTCCAAATTTACCTGTACAATTTTTTCCTAGGGTTAAGATTAAACTTGTCAGAGCAAAGGAAACATTTTAAAAAGTCCTAACTGTGTATTTTAATCCTAAGGAATAACTTCAAAACACAGCAAGAGTCATAAAGGAACCAAACATAATTTTACAAAACAAGCAGTCAATTAGAAATGAGAGGAATTAAGTTCTTATCCAGATCTGTAAGTTTGCTCCCATTTAAGTTGTATCAGAGCACACAAGACAATGTGGTTATAATGGCACTTTTTCCCATAAAACATATCTATCTACAGGTTAGAAAAACAGGAAAGAGAGGAGAGTTATTTAAGATGTGACTTTTAAAACTACTTCTTATCTAAAACAAATAATTTTAATCAATATCACGCACCCCCCTCCCTACTTAAGGTAAAAACATTTTTTCCCATTTAACTGTTAAGAATAAATAAAAAAGCTATGTGCACTATTCCAATTTAAGAAATTACTTGCTTACCAAAACTGACGCCCACACTTGCAGCGAACAGGTTTAGCATCAGGATATTGTACTTTAACAACATGGTGGCAATCTGGGGCAGGACACCACTTTAATAGTCGATTGCACTGAAACACAAGTTAGGAAATATAAAACAATAAAGTAAATCACGATGCAAGATTTCCTAGCACACCAACCAATTATCTGTATTGCTTCCCTAGCATAAGAGGCAAAGGGGGATTAGTGACATAAGCATATAAAAACCTGCCACCAAGAGTTAAAGTCTTCTATAACAATGCTTATGGGTGCACTGCTTTGCTCTGATTATAGATCCCTCGAAGAGCTGGTTTTAGAAGACATAAGGTTTGTCCAGGAAGTATCCAGCCATGTACTATGAAAAATAGAAATGTTTATTGACGATATAAGATACAAGAATCATGTACAGAACGATGGCACCTCAGTCCTCTTCAAAGTAGGCACCTAGAGACCTCACAGTTTTCCTAATCGCTATCAGCTGTCGCATTATATTTTCCTGTATCTCACCAATGCATTCAAATCTCCTCCCTTTTGAAGGTGATTTTAAGTTTTGGGAAGAGCCAGAATGGCAGGGTACCAAATCTGGGCTGCAGGGGGCTGAGTCACCTGGACGATTTGATGCTTTGCCAAAAATTCTATGTGAAATGTGATGCATGAGCGGGCATGTTGTCGTGATGAGGCTGCCAGTCACCAGTTGCCCATAGCTGCAGCCTCCTGAATCACATGAACAGTTTTCGCAGAGGAATATTCAAGCTTACTGCAAAATTGGATGCAGATTCCTCACTCTACTCTCTTGGTCATTTTGAATGGGATGGCCACACAGTACACATTCTCACTCAATGGCATCTACCTACCCCTGCCACTGACTAGTACAGTGGAGTCATCATTGTTCACACATGCACATTCCAGTCCACTCCCCTCGACTGGCAGGTTACATCAGTGTTGTGCAAACCATTCTCATTATATTAACAATGGTTGGACCTCTTCTGGACAAACCCCTTATATGAAGTACTGCTTGTTCTGTCTTCAAAATACCACTGAGAAACTTTAAAATAATTACCTATTATGGTGTTTAGATGACACAGAATAGATTGAAACTAGCTATGGGATATATATGAAATTTCTCCTTTTGACCATTGAAGGTGCTAAGAACAAAAGGCAGTTTCTAAACTATGGCACAGATCACATCTTAGTTCTTCAAAAGGAATTAGAACTTTTTGAAACATTGTTACAGAACAAAACATGGCAAAACACCCTACACTAGAATTGAAGTTCACTGAACATTAAAAAAGAAATAAGTATACCTAAAATATGCTGTTTTCTATAAGAGCTGACCTTCAGTTTAACCACTAATAGAGACAAAAATTACTAGAAAATAATTTAACTCTAGAACAAGTTAAAATATCTAGTTACACTAATGCTCTTATATAGGGGCTGGCAAACTTCTTCCATGAAGAGCCAGAAAGTAAAGACTTTTGGCTTTGTGGGCCACAATGGCCTCTTTAGCAACTACTCAACTCTGTCACTGTAGCACAAAAGTGGTAGAGAACAAATGAGTATGTTTAAATATATTTTCTTTTAGAAAAACAGGCACACTATAGTTTGCAAACCTCTTTTCTAATAGAAGAAAGACATTTGATAAAAATATATAACCACTTCGTTCTTTAACAAAGCTTACTGGTAATGGAAGCTAAAACAAGAAGAAATATATAGCAGAGTTAGAGTACCAAACATAATTAAACACGACATCATTAATAATCAGTTACAATTTCCTAGTAGAGATCAAGAGGTATAAAGGAAGAATACTATAAAAATAATTTTATTATCAACCTCAAGATCTAGCCCTGGCCAGTGTAGCTCATTTGGAAAGCCATTCCATATCAAATGGGAGAACTGACATCTCTCTCTGTGTCTGTCTGTCTCCCCTGCCTCCCTACCTCTCTGAAAGCAATGAAAAAGTGTCCTTGGGTGAGGATTAAAACAAACAAACAAACAAACAAACAAACAATCCCCCAAAACCACTCAAAATCTATAAAGAGACTTATGGGTCTGTCACATTCCTTTGAGAAAAAAAGGTGTTTCAGGATGCTTCATAAATAAAGTCCGTAACTCATGTGATGGTAAAGATGTCTCTTATTGTCCAGAGTATTTAAATAAAAAAATTAGTATTTCTATTAATGAACAGATTTACTTTTATTAAAAAAGGAAAACTTAAGAGAAATCACTTACCTCTACAAAGCTATTTGTTATTAGATGCTGATACTTTAATTTAACTTTTGAATCTGTGATCAGGCGCCTGAAAGCAAGAATAAAAATAGTTTACTAGGTTGTTTCAGTCAAGAGTACTTTCCACATTTATAAAATAAAACTTCAATGCTCTGGCTATAAAATTGCCTTAAATTGAGAATACTAAAATGCACACAGGCTATCAAAAAATGTAACAGTAGTAATCAAAACAATAATTTCAAAGTTGCTGTAGTTTTATTTTGGGAAACATTTCCCCCACATTTCTTACATTCTAAGTATTCTGTTTTTACCCAGATTGTATTACGATCTAGCGATTTACCAACCACTGCCAAATTTAGGCCCCTTGCAGTCTTTTGACTCTGACATTGTGCCTTCAAACTGTTAATTCTCTGCCATATTCCCTCAGACCCACAACCAAAAATCAGTGTGAGAAATAAGAGATATTGATAGAAATGGTAACAAGTGGATCCAAACATTACTATAAATAGTTTTAAGGGCCTTCTTCTTTGGAGAGCTTTTGTTAATTTGTAACCATAAATACTTACTGGTTGCAACCTGGCTTCTCTTGTCCACCTAAAATACTCTATAATTCATAACAATTTCTAGAAAACACAGGAACCCATGAAAGTGAAGAACCTTGAAGCTTAAGTTTCATTAGTTTTAAGGGTAAAAATTTTTCTGTGTGTTATAAGGAAATGTCTCAAGTAGAAAAACATAAAGCACTCACAAAGCCATTAAGAACTGTATCAAACAGGAATATAAATCCAACCTCATTAAAATCTTTTAAATGAACACATTTTTGTACAATCTGGCCTCATCTAATATTTGAGCTTCTTATTCCACTGCTCTCTCCCCCTGTCCTGTGCCATTTTCAGTGTACACCTGTCACATACGTGTTCTTTCAAAACAGTAAGCACCACCCTTCCTCAGAGGCTTCTGCTAGGATAGGAGAGGAAAAAATATGATGGTAGGACCACCTAGATTTGAATACTGGCTTAAAAATTTACCAGCTATGAACTAAGGGTAAGTTCTTTGCCCTTTATATTTTTCAGCTCATTCATCTGTAATATGGATAGCAAAAACAGACTTGTGAGACTACAACAGTACCTGGCAAATAGTAAGCACTCAATAAATATTAAATGCCATCATCATCATCATTATTATTTTTCTTCAAGGAGGCCTTTTCTAACAATTCCTTACCCCACTCTAGATGTAGAGCCACCCTCAGTTCTCATGGCACCTTATGGATACATCTCTCCTTTACAGAATTTGTCGTTATCTGTACAATAATGTGTTTAGTATCTGCATTCCTGCTCCCCTGTCCCCAACTAGACAGTAAGTTCCATGAAAGGATCCCTTGTGTCCAGCATCAGTGCTGGGCCTAAAAAAAGCATTCAATAAATTTTTTTTAAGTGAGTAAACTTCCATATTTCACAGATGTTGAAACTGAGGTCTAAATATTTTTGGTAAAAAATATATATACATTTGGTAATTCCTCAAAAGTTAAACACAGAATTACCATATGATCTAGCAAGTTCACTCCTAGTCTATATATCCAAAGAGAATTAAAACCAGGTGGTCAATAAAAAACCTGCCTACAAATGTTCATATAATAATACAAATATTTTCACAAAAAGCATAAATAACTGAAATATCCAAGAAGTGATGAATGGAAAAAATATGAAATATCCCTATAATGGAGTATTATATAGCCATAAAAAGGAATAAAGCACTGATACATGCCACAACATGGATGAACATTCAACACATTTTGATAGGTGACAGAAGCCAGAAACCAAAGATCACACATTGTATGACTCATTTAAATAAAATGCCAAGAGTAAGTAAATCCATATAGACAGAAAACAGTTGAGTGGCTGTCAGGGCCTAGGTGGAGCAGAGAGTGGGGAATGACTATTCAATGGATATGGAATTTCTTCTGGGGGTGGTGAAAATGTTCTGGAATTTTATAGTAGTGATGGTTGCACATTATGAATGTATTAAAACCTTTTGAACTGTATACTTTAAACAGCTAAAATGTAAATATTATGTGAAATCGACATCATTTTTAAAAAGTTAAGAACCAGACCCACAGTCAAATGCTTTGATTCCGAAATGCATCTTATACTTCTGTTACCCGTTAATAATTCTCTGATATGACAAACCCTAATGATTTCTTACAGTTGACGCAAGCCGAAGCAGCTATCTAAGCCTTGCTTGGCCCACCAGAACTGGCAAGAACACATCAGCCATAGTTCTGAGGTCAAGGTTATTAGGTTTTAGTCATTAAGCCATAGTTTATCTGGTGAAAGGGGCTGAAAAAAGTGAACTCTCATCCTTGAGAATAGCATTCAAAAAAAGCAAATGCCATCCTGACCATATTAATAAGTTAATTCTCTTGACAAAGACCTGCTGCCATCACTTATGATGAAAATAGTTATTATGTCAACTCTCATAGGGAAGGCATCTCTTTGTAGACGTGGACAAAATGACTTCTACTGAAGCCTACTATACATTCTGAATACAGTGTTAGATGCATTTAACCATCACAAAAAACCTTGTATTTTGGGATAATTCTCCATATTTACAACTGAGGTGACTGGAGAGCTATAATTTGAAACAAAGTGATTTTAAATACAAGGATTTTAAAATTTTTATCGAATTTATTAGGGTGACATTGGTTAATAAAATTATATAGGTTTCAGGTATACAATTCTCTAATACATAATCTGTATATTGTGTTCTCCATTCACTACCCCAAGTCAAGTGTCCTTAAGGATTTTTTTTAGAATGCCAGGTACTAAACTGTTAAGAAATGCCCTGCCTGGTTTCAGGGACTGTCGCCCCTCCGACGAGAAAGGGCCCCAAGGCTGGAAATAATCAAGCAGGCCTTGGGAAAATAGGCCACTGAGCAGGAGAGAAAACCTGTCCCCCTGGCAGGGGTGCAGACCCTGCCTCCCTCACATCACCCTGCTTGGTCCTGTGATGGTCGGTTAGTCAAAGATGGGTAAGATCTCTCACAAGGAGGGGCAACCTAAGCTAGACACGGCCCGTATGGGCAGCAGACAAGGACTTGGGGGACATGGAAAAAGGGCAAAAAGGCCCATACCCCTCGGCCTGGACATGGCCAGAGTTCTCATTCTATCTGAAAAAAGTCTCCCTATCTCTTGGGGGCTCTGCCCTGCCTGTTGTAGCTCAGGTTTGAAACAATACTAAAGGCAGGTACAGCCCTAAACTGGATAGGGCGGTTCCGGGGGCAATCAGGCCTAGAAGTAAGTTCCTGGAAGTACACTTTGTTCTTCCCTCAAAAGCTGTGAAAACCAGTTCATAGGAAAGGAGATTTACATTATTCGTAGACCCTGACCTGAGGCAGTTCTCTTGTGTGCCTTCAATTGTTATCTATGATCTCTATTTGTTTTCTGTAAACATAGCCTTTTGACATTGATTGATGAGCTTTGCATCCATACCCCTGTGCTTAGGGTTCTCAATAAAAGCCTTCTCCACCAGGAGGAAGAGCCCTGTTCCCTCTCCTGGCAAACAGAGAAGTGTTTGCCACGACTTGTGTTTATTCCCCGCATCTGTGACAACCCCAGGACAGGCTCTGCAGGATTCAGAGCCCCACTCCGTCCTCAGCTGGCTCTGGACAGTAGCCCTCAGATCAAGGAGCAACCCACGCAGTCCTCCCCACGACACTAAACCATGCTTTCTGCTCATATAGCACCTTGAATAAATCAACATTATGCTTCAATTTAGGAATAATGATAAAATATCTTTCTTAAAAAGAATTTCCCCTGACATACCAATTATAAACAAGCATAAAGAAGGAAATAAAAATCACGTGTAACTCTGTCACTCAGGAGGAGTAACACTACTCAACATTTTTATGAATCTGGACCACTTCTCTCTCTTTTGTAAATGTATGGTATTTAAATATTTGCTCAAATTTCTGGTCATTAAAAATAAATATAGCTTTTTGCCTCATTGCATCTGAGAAAGCAAGATGGATCAACAGCAGCTCTCCTAGAGCCATCTGAGAAAATTCAGCCAGGGTTTCTGGTCTTGCCACATTTGCTCAAACCGGTCAAGTATAATCAGGAAATACAGCCTCAATGTGTGCTGCCAGTATTTTCATCAGTACACCAAGGATAGGGCTTCATTAAGTTGGACTAAGCAGACTGCCTTGAATGGGATATTCAAGACATCTACCTTGCCACAGAAATAATGCTAGCTCTTTGCACATTAAAAAATATATTTACCATCATCTGAATTAATCTGATCACAAAGAAAGGTCAAAGTGATCTTACAGTCATGTCGTTCTCTGATACCCTGTTATCTAACTCTGACTCTACCCACCACCATCATCTCTCACCAGGATTCCTAACAGTCTCACAATCTCCCTGCTTCTACTTATAGCAATAGTATCCACACCAGCAGTTAGAGCAATCCTCTCTTGATCATGTTACTCCTTTGCTAAAAATCCTCTCATGGCTCCAAGAGTAAAAGCCAAAAACCTAAAAATGGCCTGTAAGGCCCTACACAATCAACTTCATGCATCCTTCCCACACCCTTCTCTGCCTCCCTTCAATCTATGTTTGCATTTATAGTTCGACAACATTTTTAAATTTTGAACTAATAATTATCAGTAATTTATTCTCTACTGTATACTTTGTCTTATTAACTAATAAAACTTGATAAATCATTTTTCATTTCATTGACACTAGGAAATTATTTCAGTATACAATGAGCTCTGATCCCTTAAGCATGTATAAGTATTCTACAGCTTCTGTACCAAATTTTCTCCCTAGAATACTAAAACAGTGCTCTTCTCTTTCAATGTAGAGGAAGGATCGGACAATTCAATTTATTCCACTATAAGACACAGAACTCTAAAGTCACATTGTTGAAGAATTCTCCACAAAATCTCAGTGGTTGCCTTAAAAATACGACCTTGGGATAAGCAAAGATTTCTTAAGTAGCAATAATCGTACATGGGGAAAACTGATAAATTAGATGTCATTTAAAGGAGAACATTTATTTATCAAAAATCTTTGAGAAAAAGGAAGCCACATATTGGGGAAAACAGTTGTGATACATATACCTAACAAAAGACTCATTATCAGAATATTTAAAGAATTCTTACAAAGTTAATTAACAAACAAAGGTACAAAATTTTAAGGATGGGCAAGCATCTTGAATGAGCCCTTCATAAAAAGAAATACCCAAATAGCAATGGGAAGGTGTTTGACACAATTATCCATCAAGGAACTGCAAATTAAAACCACAGTAAGATATTCCTACACATCCACCAGAATGGCTAAAATTGGGAGGGAAAAAAAGGTGATACAGGTGTAGGTAAGGCCTACAGAGAGCAGTCATTCATAACTAGAAGTGAAGGCTCAATGACTTTGGAAAGCCATTTGGCTATACCTAATAAATCTAAAAATCTTACTTATGAGTATACACCCAAAAGAAATCAGTGCATCCCCATCTCAAGACACATATAGGAATATTCTTTGTAGCTTTTTCACAGAAGCCAAAACCAAACAAATCAAAAACTCCAAATGTCTATTATCAGGAAAATGAAGTAACTATATAACAGCAACAAATAAACATATAAACATAGAGTTATTTGGCAACATGCACATATCTCAAGACATTAGTTAATTAATTGAAGCAGATACTCATAAAAAAAATTTTAAAAAAAGAACACACGCTTCATGGTTCCATTCAAATGAGATTCAAGAACCAGAAAAACTAATTGACAGTGATAGAGGTCAGGACAGGTAGCAGAGGTGAGATGGATACTACCCGGGAAGGGACCAAAAATGAACATCCTGGTACTTAAAGTTTTATACCTTAATCTGGGTCGTTAGTAAAACCACCCAGCCTATTATAATTAAATAGAGCCTATTTATAAATAAGTAGACGCTATAAATATAAAGAGCCGATTATAATTAAGAATGATGTTTTTCCACTGTAAAAAATGAGATGCTCTACTATACTGTGATTAGCAGCACATTTATCGAAGTTTATTCTATCTCTTGCCTCAGATGGTTAGTACAAACCATATGATTTCATATAAGGGTCTAGGCAGCTTCACAACCCTATTCATGATTTTTATGATACCAACAATGTTAAAAATAATTATCTGACTTGAATGTTTGGAGTATCTTTCTTGGAGCAACATAGACTTAAACCTCTCTGTAGATCAATTTAACTACTTGATTTTTATGAAATATTAACATAGTTATATTATTAAAGTACTAGCTTACAATTTTATGAACAGACCTAATGCCAAAACATGAAAGAAACTATTTCAGAATAAAAAATAATAAATTGAGTTGGCCAAAAAGTCCATGTATTATCTGTTACTAAGGAATAAAATGGCGAATCCACTGACTCACTAATCTTAAGAATTTGAGTCTAAGAAGCACTGAGAGTGAACAAAGACTTTCAGTGGTATTTCCAAGGTTAGAGCCACATATCCTAAATCAAAGTAAAAAAAGGATTCAGTCAACACAAATAGAGTACCTGGGGTCATACAGCTTATACCCTAAGAAAGTATACAGACAAGAATATGGGAAATCACAAAAATATACGGTAAGGTAATATGGGGGCGGTAAGGAGCACATAGTATGTCTGCCCAAACCAAAATGAAAATCTAAATTTAGGCCTGAAGAATGACTAAGATGAGTAGGTTAAGATAACTTACAAAAATAAAAGAGTACTGCATGTAAGAAAGTCAGGAGACAGTAGAGAAAAAAGTAACAAAATCCAATCAAACCAAATGCAAATGAAATGCAAAGTACTTTTAATCAACCATGTTCTACATGGCTAGAATAGAGAACATGAGAAAAGGTAAGGTGAAAGATGAAGCTGCACTGGTGAGCAATATAAAAAAATGGGAGTCATTTCTGGAAAGCGATAAAAGTGGGTATATAAAGAAATCACTTAGGGGCCACTTGCAGGTTCTCACCTAAAACATGGTATGACCTGGATCAGGTTCATAGAAAGAACAAAGAAATGGATGGGTTTAAGGGTAATTAGGATCTGGAATTAACAGAATTTGGTCGTGCAAGAATGACACTGGGAAATGCAAGAAAAAAAAAAAGAATGAGGGGTATCATCAAAGTTTCCAGTTTAGGCAAGTCTTTAATACCCAGTGGTTCCCTGGCCAGTAGCTCAGTGGTTTGGATGTCATCCCACAAAGCAGAAGGCACCACTTTGATTCCTGGTCAGAGCACATGCCTGGGTTGCAAGCCAGGTTTCCAGATGAAGGAGTATGAAAGACAACTGATCGAAGTTTCTCTCACATCGACGTTTCTCTCCCTCTCTTCCCCTCTTGCTAAAAATAAATAAAATCTTTTAAAAAACCTAAAAACTCAAAACATTCAGTGGTGCCATTCTTTGATACTGAAAAGCAAGAGTGATTTTGGTGGTGGTGGAAGTAATAAGAGCGTTAGCCAAATAAAGCCTGAGGAATATACAAAGATGCCTGAAAGACAGGCAGATATATGGATCTGAAGCTCAAAAGAGAGTTGATCTAACAATATAAATCTGGGAATTTCCAATGTATGCCTAGGAACAGTGTATAAAGTGAGAAGAAATAGTGGGCTGAACAGAACCCCAAGGAACAATATTTTCAGAAGAGGCAGATGGATTTTGCAAAGATTTCCATTAGAGCAGACCTGGAGTCAGCCTAGGATGGTGGGTTGGGGTAGGTGGCTGGATAAAGGGGATTTCACTGGAAATAAGTAGATCATAGTAATTAAAGGCTATGGCAGTGATTCTCTAACTTAAGTATGCATCAGAAACATACTAGGAGAGATTACTGGGCCCCATCCCAGATGTTCTGATTCAGTTAAATTTGGAGTTAGACCTGAGAGCATAGATGATTTCTCTTTTTTTTGTGAGGTTGGTGGATGGGGACGGGGTAGAGAGAAGTGTAGCCAATGGAGGGTAACACACAAGAGAGATAAAGACACAATTTGGAAATAATCTGCGCCTCCCATTCCCTGCTTGCAGGAAACAGGTGGACACTGAGGAGGGAGGGCAGGCTTGCTTTAAAAGGAGAGAAAGGATGAGGATCTGGGGAATCTTTAGATGAACAAGGCCTAGAATGATGAAGGGGACCCATGATTCAGGTACCAGCCTGCTCACCAAAGCGCTCCTGTCAGTTTGCAGGATTCTTGGTCTTTTGTGTGTGACACAAATTGAGTGAAGGAAGGAGAAAAATCCCTTCAATCACTGGCAGGTCAGTGTAAGGATATAACTGCCTCAGGTCTCTTGAGGGTGGGGATGGGAGTGTGTACAACACCAAAGCTTATATTAGGGTTCCAAAGCAGCCTCACCCCAGAGAATGTGCATTCTTAACAAGTTCCTAGGTGATGCTGATGCTGTTGGTTGCAGGACTCTATTTTGAGAACTGGTAGGCCTTTCTACTATAAAGGAATGTAGATTTGAAAATTTCTTCAAACTTTAAAAATCCCACCTCCTTAGAGGTGCTCAACAAAAATTAATTTGGTTGAATCAATTAATCAATATTTAACATGCAGAATCTATCATAAATACTTACATAACTGTGTTGTCATCCACTAAGATATCACAACCATGAGCAGGACACGAAATAGTCTGAAAAAGATTGAAATTTAAACTGTCTTCATTCAACAAATATTTACTGAATGCTTACCATTGCCAGGCACTTTGCAAGGGTTCTGAGATACCTCAACATTTATAGGATCTTAATTGTCCCCTTTCTATTAAAGGAAATGTATGTACATGAATGTGTTTTACCAACATAAAGTAACTAAAACTGTTGACCTAAATTGATTTTTCAATATAAAACTTGAAAAGCAAAAGCAAGAGATCTGACAATATTGCTCAACAAGTTTAGTGTGATATACACAAATGTTAGTGCCCACTGAGAAAACATTACCTGAATGAGACTCCAACTGGAAAGTTACGTTATAAGTAGGAAAAAAGCCTCAATTTTCTTTTAGTTGTTTTAATCTATAAAAAAGTTCTCATGCAATTTGTAACACAGAACGCTTCACCTGTTTACATTTGTACGTGGGTCTAAACACTGTAGGAAATGCAACAAAAAACTAAAATTTAAAAAAATGGCATCTTTACCTGTCCCATGCCTTCCTCCATTATCTTGGTAGTTAAATATTCACTCCAACACTGCATACAAAACTTATGTCCACATTCAAGGCCAGTGAAATACTGCAACAAAAATAATACATTGACTTTTAAAAGATATTATAAAAAAAAAAAATCACTGTATTACATAATGACTTAAAATAAGGCTCTATTAGGTCACACTTCTCACAGTGGCTGAAATGTGTAATTTGACAGGACTAGATAGGCTCCTAAACGAAATTCTAGGTTGTGAATCTAGACAAGCAAATAAATTGAACATAAAACAATGAGAAATATATCTGTAGTGCATATTTATAAATTAAGAATTTTTGGAAAGACAATTTTGTATTAAATATAAGAATATGCCATATACCAATAAGTGTATGAAAAGATGCTCAATATCCTTAGCCGCTAGCAAAAATATAAAGCAAAACCACCAATGAAGCACCTCTTCATACTTACTGGACAGCTATAATAAAAAAGACAAGATAGTAACAAGTGTTAACAAGTACATGGGAAAACTGAACCCTCACACACTGAGGTGGGAATGTGAAATGGTGCAGGAAATTTGGAAAACACTTTCTCAAACTGAACACAGAATTACCATATGACCGAGCAATTCCACTCCTAAATCATAACCAAAAGAATCGAAAATGTGTCCACACAAAAACCTATACACAAATGTTCATAGCAACATTACCCATAATAGCTCCAAAGTCGAACCAACCCAAATGTCAATCAACTGACAAATAAACAAAATGTGGAATATCCATATAATGGAAGGTTATTCAGTCATCAAAAAGAAATAAAGTAATGATACACATTATATAAACAAACCTTGAAAGCATTATGGTAAGTGAAAAAAGCCAGTAATAAAAGATCACATATTGTTTGATCTCATGTATATGAAAGATCCAGAATGGGTAAATTCGTAAAGAAAAAAAAAAAAAAAAAAAAAAAAGGATTAATGGTGCCTAGGATTGGGAAGTAGGGAGAAAATGGGAAGTAACTGTAAAAGAATGCATGAGTTTCTTTTGGGGATTAAGAAAAGTTTCTAAAATTAACTGTAGCAATGGCCTCACAACTGTAACTGTACTTTAAATAGGTAAATTGTATGGTGTATGATTTATCTCAACAAAACTGTTATAAAAAAAAATATGCCACCCTGGTCAGTGTGGCTCAGTTGGAACATCGTCCCCTACACTGAAAGGTTATGGGTTTGATCTCAGGCCGAGCCTATGGGAGGCAACCAATTGATGTTTCTCCCCACCTCCCCACCTTCCTCTCCCTCTAAAAGCAATGAAAAACATGCCCTCAGGTGAGGACAAAAATAAACAAATAAATAAATAAAATGCCACACAAATATACAATTTAATGTAGTTGCATAGAATAAAGCTAACTTAGAAAATAAATAAAACAGTACAGAAACCAAAAGATTTATTCACATAGCTAAGAAAAATAGTAACATTTTGGTCTAATGTTACATGATTTTAAAAACTATTATTTGAAGGCTGGCTAAATAAAGCATACTATATTCTATAATGAGGTATGAAACAAATACATTAATGAGTCTACAAGACTATATTTTAAGAAGATAAATAACGGTTACCATATTATAGTTTAAAAATATTTTATAATATTCACTACTAAATTATTTTTAAATGAGTAAGTAATATAGACTCATGGTTAAAACAATTATTTAGGAGTATGAGTTTATTTTGAAAAATAAGTCTCTCTCATCACTACCCTTGTCGTCTCCTTCTCTACACAGAAGTAATCACTATTTCTAGTATTTTACAAATTCTTCCAGAGATGTTCTAATGTATACAGGTACACACAGTAAAGTACCACACACTCTACTCTGTATCATAGTTGTTTTTTTAAAAAATATTATTTAATAGATTTAATAGGCTATTTTTTGCCTACTATACTGCATTGACTATATACACATCTTTGTGACCATATGACTCTAGCTTAGCACAAATTTGTATTAATAAAATAACAGGTACACATTTACAATTTGATAGATTATCATCAGGCTTTGTTCAAAGAGGTTGTAGCAGTTTTAAGACAACTTGGTTTCTCATACCCATGTCAACAAAGTATACTACTTAAGTCCTTAATCTCTGCCAGTGGAACAGATAAAAATGAATAAACTTTATTAGTTTTGGTTTTAATTTCTTTAATTATGGGTAAGTTTAAACATTTGAGAAGATATTTAAATCTATTTTTTTTTTGTGTACTCTCTTTACCTATTTTGCCCATTGTTCTATGAGGTTTTTCTTAACGATTTAGTGGGGATCGTAACTGATTAAAAAAATTGGCCATTTATAAACATGGAAAAGTTATTTTCTTCCAGTTTCAATTTTGAATGTTCACATTTTGTTGCCATGCAGAAGCTCTGTATTTTGTAGCAAAATGCATTAGTTTTAAAGTTTATGGTTTCTAAATTAACTAACTGGTATAAGGAGTTAGGTAGAAATCTAAGTTTCCACCCCAGATGGTTATCGAATTGTTCCAACACGCCATTTACTGAATAATCCACAGGATCTGAAATGCCGTCTCTATAATACACTAAATTCTCTCCATTAATCAATGAGTATTTGACTCTATCCTGTTCCAGCACACTTTCTATTCCTGCACTGGGTAAGGCAAATTCTCCCCCATCCCCAACAATCTATTCTTCCTTTCCAATATTTTATTATTATTCATCTTTCCAAATTCTCAAGTCATCCTTTACTTTTCTTTAGCATTTAGTTTTCTTCATACAGAGTTTTCACATTTCTTGCCATCTTTATTTCTAGCTTTTATTCTTTCTGTGGCTCTTATAACTGATATTTCTTATTCTATTACATTTTCTAATTAGCTGTCATTTGAAATATGATTATGAAACTTCTGATGTTTATATTAGATGCAAACAGAATACAAAATTCTGTATTATAGCACATCAACTACATAAAAAATGCCTAGAAGCAACTATGGAAAAAAACGTATACAACTCCTAAGACAGGTTTTACAGACCAAATTAAATGGAAAATATTTATCAAGTTTCAAATACAGTGCTATTCAGATCGAAAAATGGTTCTAACTCATTCACAAAACAAGTGAAGGTAGTTATTTCCGTCATTTATTTTTGTGTCACCACAATGTCCTGGCTGATGCTCCGAAGAGCATCAAAAAAGCCAAAAATGCCCCACCCCCGCCCCGCAAAAGCAAACACCAGGTTCTTATGAGATTGTGCTCCAAAGTTATCTTCTGGTTTCTAACTGTGATGATGAAGCAAGGTTACATAAGCAAATTTGAAATTATTGATGATCACAGAGCTGGGAAAACTGTTGTAAACCTCATGAGCAGACTAAACAAGTATAGCGATCAGCTCCTGTTTTGATGTGTAACTCGAAGACCTAGAAAAATAGCAGAACAAACTGCTCCCATCTAATCAGCTTTGTTTCACTGTACTAAGAACCTCAGCAGACATCATGGATCATGAAGAAGCAAGAGGAAAAGACAGGAGAGAAAATTATGGGATTCTTTTTCTAGAGATGTAATGCATACATGAAAATAAAATACTTCAAAGCATTAAAAAGAAAAAACAACCAAGAGAAGGTATATACTTGGGAAATCAGTGCTCTTATCCACCAAAAAAAAAAAAAAGAAAAACAGTGTGTGTGGGGGGGGGGGGAGTCTGGGAAACGAAAGAATCTATTCTCATTACTCCCCATCAGTGAAGGAGATCTGGCACTAACTTGTTAACAGACCATATAAAGAGTATTTGATTTTCAAACTAGAATGAGACAGGGTATTCTGTAAAGGAAAAAATACAGTAGAGTAATAGATCAACAATTTTAAAATGTTTTATTCATAATTTAAAAACACACACATTCTCATGTGCTATACTGTTTTTTTTCAAGTAAGAATCCTTAAGACTGAGAGATTAAAGGTCACAGTGTTTACTAAGTGATGACTACAAGCAGCATCTCTACCTTTGGGACTTCATACCAGGGTCCATATAAGATTTAAAGATAAGAAAGCTTTTTATTCTTTAAAGACATTGTTTCAATAACTTTCTAATTAAATTGATAAGACTAAGATAAACATGAAAAATAAATCACACACACATCTAAAGATAAAACAAAAGCTAACCTGTGGTATAAAGACATATTCATTGTGCTCAAGAGTTGTGTCATTATTAGATTGGATATATCTGAGTAGCTTCCTGTCTGTCTCTTCCTTTTCCGTCCTTATCTTTTGACACTCTTGTCCCTTAGTAACTTATGCTTACTTACTTGGTTCCCTGGGTCTTTCTCTGACTCTGGGGATCAGACTATTTTTTCATCAAACTTATCCCTGTTTACTTCTTGAATAAATATATCCACTAACAGTAAAAATATACGAAATATTGCCTACAACAAAAATTAATGGTCCTGAAGAAAAAGAACTGAAGAAACAATACACCCTCTTAAAGGTTTCATTTCTCTCCACCATTTCATATACAGCAACTAATATCAAACAGCATTAAGAACATTAAGAATTCTCTTCATCAGAAGCTGCCACGAAAGCTGAAGCAGTTTTGTTTCTAAAAACAGAGCAAATAATCGTAATATCACTTCCCTTATCTGTAAAATGTAAAGAGTTAAAAGGAAGACAGGGTTGGACTGTCATGTTTTCAGTACTCAGGAAAAAAAGAATCAGAAATGCTCAGGTTGGGGGCAGAGGATAGATTACCCCGACAATCTTCAACTTTGCTTCTATCAATTTAACAAATCTTATTCTTAGAAAATACAAATTCTTTATAAAAATGAGATATTGTGGCCCAACCTATCTATTGAATATATTTTCTAGTAGAATGAGGGGTTAGTACAGCTAGATTTTACTGAATTGATTTACTATAAAGTTGCCATGGGAGGTGGGGGAATTGGGGGGTGTGAAGAGAGAATCCATCAACTTACAAGGTGCTCCACAGTCTCAGGTAATTCTTTTGATCACCCAAAACAGTTAACTCCAAAGTATTATATAAACCAAGCTATCAGAATCATTTAGTAAAAAAAATTTAAAAATCCTGTTTTCAGGCGGCACTACATATAAAGGTGAAGTTGCTTTCTAGATAGATAAAGGTATTGAAGATATAAATTAATAACATACAAATATCAGTGTTTGAAGAGAGTAGTGGAAATGGAAACATGAAGAGCTATAATACAAGTAAAGAAATCACCCACCAATAATAAAGCTTGAATGAAGAATCTCAGGTGACATTTCATGACAAAACTGAAGAGGTTAAAATTATCCTTCTATATAGTCTAAAAACTATGAGAAAAGAAGTCCTAGTTTTATCATGATTATATTTTTATAATGCTGGCAGTTTCCATAACTCTTTCCAACCCATGTTGCTGTTTGCTTTCTTGTCCTGCCACTTACAGAGCCATACTTTCTTCTTTTTTTTCAAATTTTCTTTAAAAGAATAACCTGTTTATATTTACTGCCTCTACTTCCTTTTCCATCTTCATGTCAATGACCATTCAGCCAATGCAGAATAGGTTTTTACATCTCACCACACTACTAAAAACAACTTCCCAAAATCATCAACAAGCTTCATGTTAATTCCAAATTCACTTTTCAGCTATTTTCACTGAAGCTTTAGCACTGTTTACTATTCTTGGAAGTATATTCTCTTCTTTGGCTTCTGTATTGCTTGCTGCCTTTTCCCTAACTACCAGCAGCATTGGTGGTATAGTGATGAGCATAGCTGCCTTCCTAACTAACCATACCTTCAGAGCTTAGTTCAAATGTCAATCCCTGTGTGAAATCTTCTCTGATCCAAAATGAGTTTAGGGGATCTCTCCAACTTGTTCCCACAGTATCATGCCCTATTAAAGTGCTTACCATTCTTTCTAATACAGCATTTTACTTATCTACCCAACTAAACTGTTTATCATCTGAAGCAGGCATTATACCTGTATTCTCCACTGTGTTTATTAACACTTAGAATAGATCTGTTGTGTGGAAGGAAGAAAGGAGGGAGGGAGGGAGGGAGGGAGGGAGGGAGGGAGGGAGGGAAGGAAGGAAGGGAGGGAGGAAGGAAGGAAGGAAGGAAGGAAGGAAGGAAGGAAGGAAGGAAGGAAGGAAGGAAGGAAGGAAGGGTTCTCTGTCATCAGCTATAAAAGTACAAACAAAATTTACACTGCAAATCTCCAGTCACGATTTTCAGTCCTAATTGTCTGAGAGTGTTAGACAATACCAAAGGCATTGAGAAAGTTAGAAGGGATATTTGTAAGCAGGTACCTTCAGTACTCAAATTCTATTTAAGATTTAAACTAAGGAGAAGCTGGCTATAATAGAGCAAAAGGAGAAATGCCAAAGAGTAAGGAAACTTTGTATAACCTGGGGCAAATTATTTCAGTCTAAGTATTATCTCAGACATTTTTAAATTGTAAACAGTACATAAATGTCAGCTGGCAAAGAGAATCTGTTAAGGATAATAAAATGGTCAAAACATGAATTTAATGTTATTTTTAATAATAATGCTAATTGTTCTTTTTATACTCAAGGCAGGATTGCGATTTAAGAAGAGGGAATATATACAATTCTCGGGCTGAAAGATCTGAAAGAGCATCTTATTCAACCCATTTGAAAGATAAAACTGAAACTCAAGAGATTAAATGACTTACTATCCAAAGTCAAATACCTATTGTTAGAGCTATGAACAAAACTTGAATTTGGAAATTCAATTCAGCACTTTATCAACTAAATTATTTTAACACATGGTTTTTCTATTTTTCTAAGAGTTCTCAATTTTCTTTTAAAATCTCTTTTCTAACACTTGCACATGTGGACAAATTAGCTCCCTGCAAATGAACCTCCTTAGAGATACACATATAAAATTCCATATAGTAAATGTTAGAAAGAGATGCTTATCTATTAAAGCAGAGAATATAAACAAGATAGTTATAATTATTGTAGAATTATGTGATTTTTTTTTAGATATCTTCAAACACCTTAACAGGTTATTAATAAAGTATGACCTTCATAGGAAGATTGCTTACTGAAGCTTAAAGCTTTTTTTCTATACACTCTAAAGTAAATCATCTAAATTCAACAGGTTTTAAGAGGGATACTTTTACTTAAGAGGAACATCAATTAATTAGTTCTAGTATCTGCTCCAACTCTGTCAGCGCTTGCTGTAATTAAGAATCTCCATTAGAATGGGTCTGTGTAAGTGAAAATCTTTTGTTGTGAAAACCTTGTTATTAAAGCTCCGTAACAGAACGACATTAAAGACATTTGATAAGTGTTCTAGACATATATTTTATTTCTTTCTTTTTTTTTTATTGATTGATTCTGGAGAAGGGAAGCGAGGGAGGGAGGGAGGGAGAAGGAGAAGGAGAGAGAAACATCAATTTGTTGTTCCACTTATTTATGCTATTCATTGGTTGATTCTTGTATGTTCTCTGACTGGGGAGCAAACCTGCAACCTTGGCGTAACAGAAAGATGCTCTAACCAACTGAGCTACTCAGCTAAGGCTGGATATATATTTCTAAAAACTTAGTTTTAAATCTGTTTTAATTCGGAAGAAAAATAATTCCACTCACTGCCTGTCTATTATACAATTCTTCCAAGGTGGTAAAATAAGCTCAGAAAAGATTTAGATGTGCAACGACAACTTAGATAAATTATTGTTTTAAAAAACAAAGAAGGAGAAGAGGGCTAGAACAGGATCTATTCTTTCTCTTTCTTTCCTCATCCCTAATAATGTAATACTAGGTTACTGTTTTATACAATCCCAGACTCCCAGATCTTCCTTTGTTTAAGTTATGAAAGGTGATTTACCCTTTGAAATACAGTCAGTGCTGGCCTTAAACTACCAGATACTCACCGAGTTAGGGTAGTTCAAGTAGCAGATCTGACAAGGCATATCCTGTGCTGATGACCTTGTATTCATCTGGCGTGTTCGAGACTTTTTACTTGGATTAATTACATGACACTCAGCAAAGAGCTTCTCCAGGTTTCCATCAAAGTACCTGCATTATTTAAACAGAAAGGATGAGAGCCCAGCAATAGCACACTGTTAGAGCTCTCCAAAAACCTGATTTTCTATAGGGAAAACCAATGAACTAAATTAAAATAAACCAAGATCATAACCTTTTATGCTCAGAGGAAATGAGCTGTGTGGCTACAAGTTGTAGCAAATGGACTTATATAAGTATGAAAGCAGACTGAGTTTTTGTTGCTATTTTGATATTTCTTATTTTGCTTTTATCCTGGGAAGTCAGGCTATTAGTATTTTAACAGTACTACAACTAAAACTTAAGCATGAATGTTGTACTATCTCTAGTGGTACCTTATGAGGAGTAATGCTATTTTATTTTAAAAGGCTAGGCTATATTTTTTACAAATCATTTTATTAATAATCTTAATTATACCAGTTTAAATACATTAGCAAATAAACCACCAAGCACACCTCCCCCCACAAATTTAAAAAATGAAATTATTTACAGGATTCTCATTTTGCAAAACAGACTTGCTTTCTAAATACTTTTTGAAATACCTTTTAATTCATTAGAAAAAGGGAGAAAAGAGAAAATAAGTATATTTTAAAATATTTCTATATCAAATAGTCTCTATGTCAACTTTTCATAAAACATCTATCTATATACACAGAAGCAGTCACTACTTAAGATATCAAGAAGCATGACATGCCAAGTACTACCTACAGAGTTTCAAGTAAACTGCAACTGGCTTGACAGAAGATAGTGGTAAATACTTAGCACAGTATGTCCCATTATGTCAGCCAAGAAATAGTCTCTGTTCTCCTTAGTATCTTAATATTCTAAAGGGAATGCAATAGGTTAAAAAACAACCACCACCACCTTTCAATATTTAAATCAATATAACCAGCATAACTATTAATACAGAATCTGGTCATATTTTTTAACTTGTAAAGATTAGGTTTCAACAACTACCATGTTCTTTACAAACAACAAATGCTCAGGTTTAAAAAAAAAAAAATCAATACTTATGAGATTTCCAGTATTTTTAATAAAGATCTCGTTCAGGCTTTGTGTCAAAGCACTTACTGTATCTCCAGAAAAGAAATCATTCAAATGGGAACACTCTCCTAAAACTAATACATATCTTTTTATAAATATGTATTTTGATTACAGTCTGTTTCAATAAAATGATAAATTTATCAATCTAGATGTCAACATTATAAAAGGGGAACTCATATAAAGTTAAAGTTGTCCCTGATGATTCAGCTAATCAAAATATAAGGAGCAGCACTGACTGGTGTGGCTCAATTGGCTGGGCGTCATCCCACAAAGCAAAAGGCTGCCAATTCAATTCCCAGTCAGGGCACGTGTCTGGGTTGCAGGTTTAGTCCCTGGTTAGGGAAAAGCAACCAATCGATGTTTCTCACATGGATATTCTCTTCCTCTCTTTCACTCTTCCCCCATCTCCAAAAAGAAATAATCTTAAAAAAATATATATGGAGCAAAATGTGGAGTCCTTTCCTACAAATTTTATCTCTGAGAAAGCCTAAGATATTAGGTTTTATCTAAACAGAAAGCATATGAAGCTAACACTAAATATAAATAAACAAATTAAACACCTGTAAAAAAATACTCATACAAGTCATGCAAAACTTGACTATACAAAATCAGTGACTCCTAATACTTTGGTAAAATTTCTAGGCAGCAATCTATGCATACACAGCAAAACAGACATGTGCCTATAATTTCCTAAAAAGTGTTGCATTCCAGATTTATAGCTTGCTTTCTTCACTAAACAATATTAACAAGCATCTTTGTCAATGAACACTGGTCTACATTGTTTTTTCATTGTTGCATAATATTCCATAGTAATATACTATGGACTATAATTCCATGTACTATAATTAACTTTATACTGAGGGACAATCAGCTGTTCCACATATAAACAATCCTAGATTAAAATCTTGGCTCATCTAATAGGGGAAAACATATCTCGACTTAACGTTCATCTCTTTACTAGTGAGGCTGAACCTATCTTTTTATGAAGATCATACTATTATTTTATGAGTTCAGCATTTAAACAGGAAGGGTAACCTTTGTTTAATGGATTGCTTTCACCCCCAGTTTCTAACTTGTCTGGCCTTCTTTTTTAAAGGTGTTTAATAGCCACTTAAAATTTTTATGTAGGCAAATTATCTTGAAACTTGTTATGATTTCTGGATTTTATATCAATCTTTAAAAGATTTCTATATCTAAAGATTATAAAAACTCATCCATGATGTAGGCCTTTCCTTTAAACTGTTTCTATCAAGACTGTTGATTTGCATGGAAATTTTTTTGTGTAATAAGGAGTACAGCAATGGTTATATTTCATTTTAATCTAAATGGCTAACCATTTTACTGAAAGGTGTTTCTTCTACCTTTAGTTCTCAGCTTAAACCTCACTTTCTCAAATAAGTCTTCTTTGACAGTTCCTCCTAATCCCCCACCCCTCAATTAGGTAACGTTCCCTAGTGTTACATTTTCTTTGTACTTCTGCCAACACCACACTACTAGCCCTGTAATCACTATTTGTTCTATGTTTTCTCTGCTAGAATGTAAACCTCATGGAGCTCTTTTATTTTTGTTGTAGCCCTAGTGTCTAGAAGAATATTATACAAGCTTTCAATTTTTTTAGAAAGTAATGACAGTACCTTCTCAAAGATAAATGCCAGCAAAAAATCTGAATTCCTCTGCTTTAGGCATATTTCTTAAAGATAGTATATATTGGAGTTTATAGCTTTTTGATTCTGGAAACTACCAAAGAATTTTCAAGTACTGCCCTGATAAACAGAATGGGGAGTTTAAGAATCCACTCTTATTACTGGGCATAGTAGGCCTACAAATCTTTTTTATTAGATTAAGTCCCATTTTACAAGAAATGTAACATTTAAAATTTTGTTTTGCTTTTATTTTTACTACACGATCTGTCCATCAGTGACTGTGTAATGGTTATATGGAAGATAATGAAATCTAATGTACTTTTATTAAATGTAACAAAATCAATACTTAAACCTATTTCTTGATTTGTCAACTTTAAGTAATACATTGATTGCCCTTGTATTAAATGACCATACCCTTAACTCTTGAATTGTGAATGAAACTACCTGGACCTTTCCCCAGTTGATTATAATTTTATATATATGTGTAAAAAATATATATACATATAAAATTACATGTGTAAAATTTATATGTATATTTATTAATCACATTATTTTTTACGTTATATTTTTTCAATAACTATTTCATAAACTTGATTATCCCAATTACTTAAGACATAATTCAAACATTTAAATGTTATCAAATGCTCATTTTGGCCAACCATGCCTCCCCACCCCCGCCCCCACGTTCTCCCATCAATACTCTCTGTATTGACAGCATCTGCTTTCTTTTGGTACCTGCTGTTACTTAAGTTTATGGTCAAAGTAATTTCCATTTTATAATTCAAATCCTTTTACAGCTATCACATACAAAGGTTTGTTTCTTCATTCTAGAAGTTTTAAGTAGTTCCATAGGGTTTATCTTAGCATTTAACTTTCTCTTTTGAAATGACATTCAGATCTTAATTACTTCAAGATCCTTTAGTTTTTAAGACTGTATCCTGCTTGATTTGTACCCACCCCAGTGTTTTTTAATTTGTCCTCTGTGTCTATCATCTGCTAATTCTTTGTCCTGTTCTTGTCTTACATGTCTGTTCTTCCTAGTATCTGCTCTATTTCTTGCTGTTGCCACTGTGGTTTTAGGTTCTTCACACTTTTTTTTTAAAGTTCTGTGAACTTACCTTTTCATGGCACTATACTGTTTTATCAGTTTATCTTTAATCTCTCATTTCTTATTGTCTCTGTTTAATTGCCTTAAGAGAACAAAGAAGTGCCCCTCCCCTCAATTATGATAGTTTTATTAAGGACTGCTATGCTCAAGAACACAAGCAGATTCTTAACTTCCCATACACTGTTTACCGCATCACTATTTTAAAGTTCTTTCAGCTTGCTGGCTTTAATGTACACCCTTGCTTGTGAAAAACAGACCAAAGTGAAAAGGGACTGGACTGATTCAGTGTGAAACACTGCAGTTCAAGAACCTCTCTGCCTCACTGACTTTGGTACACAGTGGCAAAGCATATCCTGGGATATTGCTTCCCTCATTTCCCGCAACCTTTTCCCGTCCTTCTGAGAAAACCATACTGGTGAAAATTAAAGATTAACACTGTGGTTTTTCCTTCAATCCAGCCATTAATCAATGGAGGAAGGGCACAATTAGAGTCTTGTCACCCCAGGTCTGAGATGACCTACATTTGACAGCAGAGATTAAATAAATCCTCTTCTAATATTCTTTCTGTTCAGTTAGTATGTTTACAGAAATATAAACAAACTAGCACTTAATTAGCCAACTCTGAAGAATATCTAGAACTTAACTTTTCATTTTTGTGACTGTTAGATATATACAAGTAATATAAATTAAATTTCAAGGCAGGAACAGTTACGGCCTAGAAACTATGTTTGTGGGAAGGGAAGATTGGCTGAAATGTTACATCCTTAGCCAGCGTTTCTTTTTTTGAATTCTGAATGATTACAGAATCATTGTTTGCATGGAAATCAGTATTTAATTTTTTGCCATTAGGAATTTTTTTGCAGGAGGGGAGTGAAGGGAGGAAGAAAGAGGGAGAGAAACATCAATCAGTTGCCTCTCACGCACACCACAACTGGGGACCAGGCCACAACTCAGGCATGTGCCCTGACTGCCAACTGAATCGGTGACCTTTTGCTTTGTGGTAGGATGCCCAACCAACTGAGCCACATTGGTCAGCGCAGGAATTTATCTTAAAAGCCACTAGGTCTTCACCCTTCATAAAAAGACCACTGTTGAAGTACTTATTTTCACAACAGAATCAGTAAAGCAAAAACATTAAGCTAATTTAAAGTTATATAGTAGGCTTTTCTACTGGGTATCCTTCGGTATCAGAGTTCAATCCTCTTTATAGGTCTTTAATG